ACTCTATCTTTCGTTTTAGGCACATTTAAGCCTATTGTGACTATAACAGTCTTATGCGGTGGAAAACGGCTAGAAGCAATCGGGTGCAGTGGAGAGCGGTTAGGAGCGGTCGGGTGCGGTTGGGTGCGGTCTAGTGCGGTTGGGTGCGGTGAGGAGCGCCCTGGTACGGTATGGTGCGGTCTAGTGAGTTGGAAAACGTCAAGAAGCACTCGGGTGCGATGGGGAGCGGCTAGGAGCAGTCGGGTGCAGGTGGGTGCGGTCTAGAGCGGTTGGGTGCGGTGAGGAGCGGCCAGGTACGGTCTGGTACGGTTGAAAACGGCTAGTAGCAGTCGGGTGTGATCGGGTGTAGTCTAATGCGGGTGGGTGCGGTTGGGAGCGGCTAGGAGGGGTCACGAGCGGTGGAGTGCGGTCGATTGCAGCTAGGAGGGGTCGTGAGCGCGGGGGGGGAGGGGGAGGGGGGGGGGCTGTAGTTTGCGCTTGCTGGCTGAGCTGCGGTGGAGTGCGGTTGAGTGCGGTACCTGACGGTTCAGTGTGGTTGAGTACGGCACTGGGCGGTTCAGGGGTGGCGGGTACGGGTAGGGCCGCGGGTAGCATGTGGGGTGGCAGGTAGCAGGTGGGGCGGTAGATAGCTGTTGGGGAGGCGGGTAGCAAGTGGGGCAGCGGATGGTAGATGGGGCGGTTTTTAGCAGGTGGGGCGGGAGATAGCGGGTGGGGAGGCGATCAGCAGGTGGGGAGGCGGGTAGCGGGTGGGGCTGGGGCTGCTGATAGAGGGTACAGGTGGCGGGTGGGGCTTGGGCGGCGGTTAGCGAGTTCAGGTGGCGGAGTAGCGGGTGGTGTGGGTACCTTAGCAGGTAGCGGGTGGGGTGCGGGCCGTGCACGGTCGCCAATGCATGCAGTTGCGCGCGTGTGCGCGCGTGTGCGTGCGTGGAGTGGCGTGCATGCGTGCATGCAAGCTGCGCACGCGACTGTGCGAGCTGCGCGTGCGTGCGCCTCCTCGCTCGTGATTGCGTGCGTGCGCTCGTGCAGGGTAAGGTGACGGGCAGGGAGCAGGGGGGGAGGAGGGGGGGGGGGGGGGGTGGGGGGGAACGGGGGAGGCGCGGGCTAAGGCTAACGGGCCGCTAAGGAGGCGTGGGGCGCTATGGTTTACGAGTTGACGGGGCGCTACAGGCTAGGGCGCTTCGAGCTAGGGCGGGGTGCAGGGCGGTGGGCCCATCGGACACATTCCTAGGCTATATACCATGTTAACGTGGTAACTTGCTAGGGTTGAGAAAGAATGAATAAGGAAAGAAGAAACAAGCAAGAAATGGCAAACAAAAAACCCTAGTGCTAGGACAAATACAACACAGTGTAGAACACCTAGACTAAAACTAAACAAACTATATAATTATAGTTTGACAGCAGCAGCGGGTGCAGTTGCAGCCACAGCAGGAGAGGGTAGAGGAGGAGCCACAGCCGGAGCAACAGGAGCAGCAACAGGGACAGGCGCCGCCACAGCAGACGCCAGAGGAGGCGGAGCAGCAGCGACTGAGAGGCCTGCCCGACCCCGCACCTGAACGCTTGGTCCGTGGTCCCCAACTTCTCCTCCCGTTCCCCCTGTCTAGTCCCTTTCCTCGTCCCCGATGTCCCGTCATGCTCCTCTCAGTCGTGCTGTGTCCCCACAGCCTCGTCGGTCTTGTTACCGTGCCGACGGCCCGTTTCACCTTGTTCTCCGCTCTTGCGTTCCGCCTCCTACGGTACTTCCGCAGCCTCCTGACTCATCCCTTACTGTGTCTCCCAACTCGTTCTTCGACTACCGCCGTGCCTACCGTCCTGACTTCTCCTGTGTCTTGTCCTCGTTGGTCACTCGCCCGACTGCCCCCCCCGGTGTCTGTCTCGACTCTTGATGCTGGTGTCACTGTCTTTGCCTCTTCTCTCCGCCTTGACTACGCCGCTCACCTGGTGAGCGGCCCTGCTCGTTCTCCATCCTCTGGGGGTGCTCCTGTCTTTCCCCTAGAGGTTCTGGAGGACAGGTAGTTCGAGCTCGGTTTCATTGCGGTCGCTGTTACTCATCTCTGCGCCATGCTGCTTGCCCCTAAGGGGGATCCAGATGCCCTTGACATCCCGACCCCTCATACTCACGCCAAGGCGGTCTCGGGACCTTGGGCCTCGTACGGGATAGCAGCTGAGGAGGCAGAGATGGCATCGTATAGGTCCACAGGCACCTATGTTGACGCCGTCCCACCCCCTGGGGCGAACTTCGTCAGTGGCATGTGGCTCTACAAGGTGAAGCGGCCGCCTGGAGCACCACCTGTGTTCAAGGCGCGCTACGTGGTGAGAGGCTTCAGTTAGCGAGAGGGGGTTGACTTCCCCCACCCTGAAGATAACCACCCTTTGAGTTCTGCTTCACATTGCAGCTCAGCGTGACTACGAGTTGAACTCACTGGAATTTTCCACAGCGTTTCTTCAGGGGAGCCTGTACGAGCCGATCTGGCTGCGTCAATCGCCTGGTTTCATTGGCACTTTCCCCCCTGGGACCCAGTGGTAGCTGTGCCTGCGCCAGGCTCCGCACGAGTGGCACGGCACACTTCGGATGACTCTTGCAGCACTTCACTTCTTTCCGTCGTCTGCCGACCCGTCGCTGCTCGTACGCCGTACCTCGACCCCGCTCTTCATTCTGGTTTACGTTGACGACCCGGCCTTTGCCACTCCCGACCGCACCGCCCTGGCCTCTGTGAAGGTGGAACTACAGAGGAGACACACTTGCACTGACCTTAGTGAGCTGCAGCGCTACCTTGGCCTGCAAACGATCAGGGACAGGGCAGCTCGCACCATATATGCTGACACAATCGCATACGGTCTAGGAGATCCTCACGCGGTTTCGCTTCCCGTTCTCCAAGGTACAGCTCACCCCTCTTGCTAGGGATCATGGGCTCACATCTCCACCTTCAGACGTGTCAATTGAGCCCAATGGTCCATATCCTGAGTTGGTGGGTTGTCTTCTGCACCTGATGACCTGTACTCGCTTAGACCTAGCTTTCCCTCTCAGCGTCCTGGCGAGCTTTGTTGCGCCTGGGAGACACCGACCTTCCCATTGGTTGGCTGCTAAGAGGGTGGCTAAGTATGTGGCGAGCACATCGGGCATTGGACTTGCCCTTGGTGGGAAGCAGCCAGCTATACTCACAGGTTTCTCGGGCTCCTCGTACGCCGATTGTGGCTGGACGTACAGGTCTACACATGGTTACTGCTTCAGCCTTGAGACCGGAGCTGTTTTGTGGAGGTCGACTCGGGCGTTGTCCATCTCTAGCTCCAGCTGTGAGGCAGAGGTGTACGCTGCGGCAATGGTCGCACAGGAGCTTCGTTGGTTGACTTTCCTCCTCACCGACGTCGGTGAGCGGCCTCGCTCTCCCCCAATCTTGTTCGCTGACAACATATCTGCCATCCTGTTGTGCGAGGAGCCTCGAATAGTTTGAAAGGCAAAGCACATCCATCTTCGTTACTTCCTTCTGCGTGAGTTGCAGCAGCGTGGCCAGGCTCGCGTGAGACGTGTGGGATTCGTCCAACCACCAGCTCGTCGTAAGTTGAATCGTTGACTTCGGCTGCTTCGACGGAGCCCTCCTCTTTTGAAGGTGAGTCCCTTAACATGTCTTCCCATGTGCGGAAGTAGCGGTAGTGACGGCTGATTCGAGGAGGTCCGTGGTGTGGTGCACCATGCAGGTCAAAAACTTGCTTTTGCCTTTGTCATTGTCGGCAGGAATGCGTGAAGGAGTTTGTGAAGTACTGGCAACGGAAGGCGGCGTTTCGCTCCGTGTCGGGGGTCTTTGGTAAGTTCTGGCTGCTTGTTGATATGGTGACAGTCCTGGTTGTCCTTGCGTACGGTTGTTGTTGTCATTGCTTAAAGGTGTGACCCATTTTTTTGCAGTACTTGTAAAAGAGCTTTCTGCTGTCTGGTGGTGTTTCTCCGCTTCCTACGTAAAAGGCGATGCGCAGAACGGTGGTGATGCGCAGGGACAATCGAACCGCAAACCAGTGGTCCGACAGCGTCCGTGGGACCTCCGCATGACCAGCCTCCAGCAGACTTCCGAGCAGCGACGTCGATATCAAGGCTCTGTCGATGCGGGACCTCGACTGCGTCGCCCTCACCCGGAACATATACTCCTTCTCCGTGGGTTGAAGCGTTCGGAAAGCGTCGCAAATATCGTACGACGACCAAAGACTGATAAATATCTGATTCTCCTTTCCATAACCCGCTCCCGACGATTTTGTCACAATATAAAATTGACTAAAACAGAAAAGTACAAACAAGATATATGCAAAACCTAACCCTAGTGCAAGTACAAAATAACACAAGGGAAAACACCTAGACTAGAACTACACAAACTATAGAATTATAGATTGACAGATTTGTCCAGATCCGAGTCAGCGATAATATTCAGGTCCCCCACCACCACCAGGTGAGCTGTCGGCGGCTAGGTCTGCACGAACGGGGTTAAGTATTCGGTGTGGAACTTTGCCCTATTGCACGCCTGCGCTGGGAGGTATGCCGCTATCAGCCTGAAGGTCACTTCACCCCCTTCCACCGTCACCCCCAGCAGCCTCCCAGATGGGTCTGCCAAGACTTCTGAGAACCGTATGTGTTTAGCAAACGCAAGGACAGCCACCCCTCCAGCCGCTTGACTTGGACTGGCAGCGGCCCACGCTCTTGGCTTCAAATAACTCCAGAAGTTGTGATCCTCTTTAATCCGTGTATCTGATAAGACGACTATATCTGCTGCTGTGCGCAGCCATCGACGGTGCTTGCTACGTTTGCCGTTGCTACCGAGGCCGTTCACATTGACCCCGCAGATGGTAAGATTGGTTGTGTTACCCATTAATCCACTCTTCAGATAGCCTCTCGCATCCACAAGCTTTATTACACAAGGTTTTACAAACGTCATACACAGCTGATGCTAACTTCTCATGGCTCACGAATCCTGTCTCCCCTGTCGATGTCCGACACAGATCCGTACTGCACCGTGTGACCGTTACTTCCCGTACTCCTTCCAGACATCCGCCAGGCACTGCTCCCCCCTGCTCTGACGCATTGCAGCACCCGCCTTGAGCAAACCAGTGCAGTGGCGAACCGACTGAGCGTGTTCCACAGCCTGTTCGAAATTGGTGTCATGAGCCTTCCCGCACTCCTCTTGCACACAGGTCCACTCCTCCCGGACCCCTCCCACCGAGGTTAGGGCAATCGCCGGATCCGCCATCATGGTCTTCGTCGCCGCTGACAGCTTCAGGGAAGCAGCTGCTCGGGGGGGAGGCGGCACAGAGATCAGCTCGGAAGTTCGCTGCTGCAACCACCTGAACAAATGCGTCCCTTCCGTGAGGTCGGGACATTTTGCACGTATTAGCTCTGGAATTACTACGGTAAATGGGCACCATCAAATAAACAATAACTGATTTATTGAGCCATTCGCAGTTTCGAGGGAACAAATGCCCACTTATACTTAGACATGCATGGCTTAATCTTTGAGACAAGCATATGACTACTGGCAGGATCAACCAAGTAGCCCTTCCCCAAGGTAATCAGGAGCGCGGGAGCCTTGACAGCACCCTCGCGGGCCTCGGTCCCAGCAAGCTCGAAAGCCCCCTGCGACGTCTGCCCTTTTTCCCCTTTCTCGCACGAGCTGTCCCGCCGGAAATCACCCGGATGTGGGAGCAGTCCGCTACGCGAGGCGTGCGCACCGTCGAGCCCTTCTTTTTCCCCTCCTATGCCCCGGCCGGAACCACCCGGCACGCGGGGCGTCGAGGGTCAGGCCCGACGCTTAACGTAATGCGCAACACAGATTCCACGGTTCGCCGACACCAAAACAAGGTAAGCGTATGTGTCTTTACCATTAATCTCATGAGCACGCAGCAGCGACAAACCACAGTTGCCGATGTTGTTCTGCCTCTCCTTGACATACTCATCATGAAAACACGTCATGTGCATGCCGTTGCAAAATCCGCAAGTGAGAGCAGGGAACGAAACGAGGATATCAATGCCATGAACCTTGTCAGTGATGCGATGCCACCACTTATACTTATCCCCGGGATGCCTGTAGACCAGGCCCCTGATCTTATACGTGTCCGACCCCGAAACAGGATCCAGGACCCTATGGAACGCCGAACCCTCGCGGAAAGCCGTGCGACCCCGCTTCATCAAAAGCGCAGTCACCAGATTCTTCCGGACCATCTCCGGTGAGATCAGCGCCGGTACCCCCTTAAGAAGCACTTCGATCGCCTCCGGATGCAGAGCGCGCTCCTTCAGGTAAGCGGTGTTCTCCGGGTGCTGCCAGCCAAGTGTCAGCTTCTTGTCATTCATCGTGTAGTGTTCCACCTCTCGACTCCAAACGAAGTTCGCATCAACCGCTTGCAAGAAAACCACCTGCATCCGGCCGAAATGCTTCTTGGACAGGTACGTAGCCGGCAGCTGCTGGAACTTGGTCGTGTCTCTGACATTCTCTGAGAGATGCTTTCCCCACAGCAGCAGCAGGTGCCGAACCGTGTTGATGGTGCAAGGGACTTCCTTGCTCCAGGCGAACAGGATCAACGGCGTGATGGCGAACCCCACCTGCGCAGCGATTTCGTTGAGCGTCTCCGGGTCCTGGCACTCGTCCGGGTCGTCACTGAGGTAACCGTCTTCGGTATCCTTGTCCTGCACATTTGCCTTGCCTTTGTCCAACACATCTGGCGCCGACGACGAGCTTCCAGCAGCAGCTGGCTTAACCGTGCCATTCTCCTTCCCTCCCGCCGACACGTCGTCCAGCTTGAGGGCCGACGTACGAGCCGATAACGTGTGAATCACCTCCACACTGAAAGGACCATTCACGCCACTGAAGAGCGTCTTAGGAGTGACCGGATTCTTCCCGTGCGCACCCGCAACACCTGGAGCGGACGAGGCCGGTGCATCACCAGTAGGAGCCATGGGGTGATGATGATGCCAAAGAAACGGATCTCCAGAAGAAGTCTGTAAAAGAGAACTGAGCCTCGGAAGCTCCTGTGGTGACTTGTGTCTTCCCCTCTTCCTAGGCCTGTATTTGTAGATGTTGAAAGCTTTTTAAACCGCATCGAGAGAAAACTCCTTGAGAAGCACCGCGAGCTCTGGACCGAGGATTGATGGTAGCTCTTGAAAACACCTTGAGAATTGACTAAGGAAAAACAAGGTACAAAGAGTTATAGCAAACCCTAGGAAATAGGAATGTAACACCTAGTCTAACCTAAACAACACATATAAAATATATGTTGATACACCCCCATAGTCTAGGTGACGGTAGTCCTGTGGAAAGCAACACATATCTCAGGGTGGGTCTAAAGGACACACACAGTCTGAGAGCAAGCAAGGGTCACAAGACCAGTCCACAAGAACAAGACAAATCTCAGGGTGGAGCTCAAAGTCACCACACACCACACACAATCTCAGGGCAAGCAAGGGGCCACAAGGCCAGTCCACATGCAGGTATATAGCAAATATAAGGAGGTGCAAGTGTACAAGCCAAGCAGGACAAAGCATCTCTACGTAAGCAAGTGAGGACGGGCAGGCACAAGGCCAAGTTGGGTGCAGAAACGCTGGTGGTCACAAGGCGGCTCCCAACCAGTCCGGGCTCCTCAGACAAAAGGACAGCAGACCTGTTGTCGGCAAACAAGACTGGGAGAGAGCGAGGCCGCTCACCAAGGTCGGTGAGGAGGAAAGACAGCCAGCGAAACTCCTGAGCAGCCATGGCCGCAGCGTACACCTCTACCTCACAGCAGGAACCAGAGACGGGCGACGCCCGAGTCGACCGCCACAAAATAACACCTGTCCCAAGGCTAATGGAATACCCCTGTGTAGACCGACGCGTCTCTGCGTCGTCGGACACGACGAGTCCGAGTAACCTGTGAGTGTAACTGGCTGTTTCCCTCCAAGGACAAGTCCCATGCTTGATGTACTCGCCATATACTTCGCCACCCTCTTAGCAACGTACCAGTGGGACGGTCAGTGTCTCCCGGGCGCAACAAAGCGCGCAAGGACGCTAAGAGGATAAGCTAGGTCTGGGCGAGTACAGGTCATCAGTACACAAGACAACCCACCAGCTCAGGAAATGGACCACTGGACTCAAATGACTCGTCCAAAGGTGGAGCCGCGAGCCCATGATCCACAGCAAGAGGGGTGAGCTGTACCTTGGAGAACGGGAAACAAAACCGCGTGAGGATCTGCTCGACCACATGCGACTGCGTCAGCGTAATGGTGCGAGCTGCCCTGTCCCTGGTGATCTGCAGGCCAAGGTAGCGCTGCAGCTCACCAAATTCAGTGCAAGTGTGTCTCCTCTGCAGTTCCTCCTTCACGGAGGCCTGCACGCGTTGGTCGGGAGTGGCGAATATCAGGTCGTCAACGTAGACCAGGAAAAATAACGAGGTCGAGCGACGTCGGACGAACAGTGACGGGTCGGTAGACGACAGAAAGAAGTCAAGCGCTGCAAGGGTCGAGCGAAGTGTCCCGTGCCACTCACGTGGAGCCTGGCGCAGGCCGTAAACCGGTCGACGCAGCTGCCACTAGGTCCCAGGTGGGAAACAGCCAGTGAATCCGGGCAGGCGACGCAGCTAGTTCTGTTCATGCCGGCTCCCCTGAAGGAACGCTGTGGAAAATTCCAAGGAGTGCAACTCGTAGTCGCGCTAGGCTGCAATATGCAGCAACACCCAAAGAGTAGTCATCTTCAGGGTAGGAGCGAAGGTCTGGAAGAAGTCTACCCCTCTCGCTGACTGCCCTCCCACCACATAGCGCGCTTGAACACTGGTGGTGATCCAGGCGGCCGCTTCACCTTGTAGAGCCATCGACCATTGACGACGTTCGTCCAAGGTGGTGGGACTTCGTCGACGTAGGTGCCTGTGGACCTATAAGATGCCATCTCTGCCTCCTCAGCTGCTATACAGTACGAGGCCCAAGGTCCCGCGACTGCCTCAGCGTGATTGCGAAGGATCGGAATGTCAAGAGCGTCTGGATCCCCCTCAGGGGCAAGCAGCATGGCACAGAGATGAGGAACAGCGGCCGCAAGGAAACCAAGCTCGAACTGCATGTCCTCCAGGACCTCCAGGGGAAAGACAGGAGCACCCCCAGAGGACGGAGAATGAGCAGGGCCACTCACCAGGTGAGCGGCGTAGTCAAGGCGGTGGGACGAGGCAAAGCCAGCGACAGTGGTAACAAGAGCTGAGACAGACGACAGAGGTGCAGTCGGGTGAGTGACCAACGCGGACAAAACACGGGAGACGACAGGACGGGAGGCATGGAGGTAGTCGGACAACAGGGTCGGGAAACACAGTGAGGGACGACTCAGGAGGCTATGGAAGGACCAAAGGAGGTGGAACACGAGAGCGGAGAACAAGGTGAAACGGGCCGTCTGCATGGTAACGAGACCGACGGGGCTCTGTCGTCTGCTGCGACGGCACCTGTCTCTGCTGCTGCTCCTGTGACTCCTCCACTGCCCTCTCATGCTGCGGCTGCAGCTTCACCTGCTGCTACGGCCGGGACTCTTGCTCTACCCTCTCCTGCTGCGAACATGACCCCCTCTACTCTCTCCTACTGTGGCTGCAACTGCACCTGCTGGTGCAGTCGTGACTCCTCCTCTACTCTCTCTTGCTGTGGCTGTGGCTCCTCCTCCGTCGCTGACTCCTGCTCGCCCATGCAAATGTTGGACAACCGCTCTTCCAGTTGGTCGATGTACAAGACGTCGGTCAACTTGTACGTCGACATGATGAATCGCTGGTCGTCGTCCAGTCGAAGTCGGCACGGCTTCAGGGCGACCTGCACCATCAGCAAACAGCACCGCGAGATGACGACGAAGGTCAACAGGTGAGCGGCACAAAAATTCCGCCCGGAGCTCGACGTCGGCCTCGTCTGGCGTCTCCACGTCGCTGTCACTATTGCGCGCGCTGCTGCTACGCTGCGCGCTGCTGCCACTTGCTGCCTTTGCTGCCACGCTGCCCCTACTGTGCGCCGTTGCCGCTGCTGTGCACGCTGCTGTCGCACTGGCCACCTGCTGCTCGCAACCGCTAGCCTCCCGCTACCCGCTGCCGCCCGCGCGCTGCACGCTGCTGCCCACTGGCCGGCCCGCTGCTGCCCACGCACTGCCCGCTGCCCGGGACCGTTAGCCGATTGCTGCCCGCGACCGCTAGCCGCCCGCTGCCCGCTGCCGCCCTGCTGTCGCCCGCGCGCCGCCTACTGCCGCCCGTGTCGCAATTACATTTCTTTCTAAACTTCTTGTTGTGTGGTGTAGTGTAGTTATCTTTGCATCTATTTGTATCCCTCCGATTATAGTGAACCACCTCTTTGGCTAATCCTCTCGACCTATCTCACGTTACTCTTGTCACTCACGCTTCTATGGCTCCTAAGCTTCTTAAGCCTAGTATCTAGCCTTTGACAGCCCGCGCATCGCTCGCTGCTGCCGCTGGCCGCCCGCAACCTGCCGCTAGCTGCCTGCTAGCAGCCCGCATCCGCCCGCCAGCCGCCCTCAACCTGTCGCCCACGCACCGCCCGCTGCCAACCGCTGCCGCCTGCCGCTGCCAACAACCTGACGCTAGCCGCCCGCTACAGGCCTGCTGCAACTAGCTACCGCCTGCACCCGGCTCGTTGTCACCTACTGCCGCCAGCTGCCGCCCGCTACCGAGCCGCACTGCCTACCGCCGCGCCGCGCCGCGCTGCTGCCGCCGAGCCGCCCTGCTGTCGTGCCGCCCACTACGGCCATGCCGCCCGTTCTGTCACGGCACCCCGAGCCGCCGCCCGTGCCTAGACCTGCAGCTAGTCCCCAATGTTGCCGCCTGACCTAGTTTCTGCCACGGCCACTATTACTGTGCTAGCGTTTGACGCAGAGGGGCGACCTATCGAGTTCGAGTCATGGCTAGAGGACCTGCATCTGTACATGCACAGTGTCACCATAGACGTCGTCTCACTGTTTGAGCACACGTCGGGGTCCCTCAAGGCCCCCACGACTCCCGTTGAGCCTGCCCTGACGGATGCGGAGGATGTGCAGAAGCAGTACAGGGGTGACCGCATTGCCTGCACGCAGTGAACGGCGTGCGACGCCACCACCAAGCCTGCAGTCCGCGCTCACCTCTCGCCCGACCAGAGGCCCACTTTTGCCAGTTGACATCGGCCCAGGCTTTCTATGACACTGTGGTTAAGCGCTACTCCTCCCCCTCTTCTGCCACCCTAGGACGTCTTGCGCTGCCGTTTCTCTTCCCTGAGCTGTCAAACTTCACCTGTAGCTGACCTCATGACCCACGTGCGCTCCCTTGACTCTCGCTACCGTGCTGCCTTCAAGCCGGAGTTTCTGGCTGAGAACCAGCCCCCCATGTACCTCACTCTGTACTTCCTCGCGACTCGCCTCCCTCACACCCTTTGTGCTGTTCAATACCACTTCCTCTCCCTAGACCCCGCTAGTCTCGACCTTGCCTCGTTTGAGACTCGTCTCCTCGTGGTCAAGACCAGTGCCCGTACTGTCGCTGCCTCCCGTGGTACCCCCATTATTTTTTTAGGGGTGCACTCCCTCCCCACTAGCGTCCTCTGTTGCCTTTGCTGCTGCTGTTGACTTCCGCGGTGCTGAGGAGGTAGGTGCTGCGTCCGCTCCTCGCGGGAGGCGCAACAAGGGTGGGCGTAGGAGGGGTGGGTTTGGTGGGGGTGGTGGAGATGGCGGTGGCGGTGGGGGGAGAGGGGGTGGTGGGGGTAGCGGGGGTGGCGGGGGTGGAGAAGGGGGTTGGGGTGGTGGTCGTGGTGGAGCTGGCGGGGGTGGTGGCACCGGTGTGGCGTCTGGTAGAGTTGCGTCTGGCGGAGCAGCAAGTGGAGGTAGCGGCTTTGGGGGTGGGCAGCAGTAGCAGCAGTAGCCACGTCAGCAGGAGACTCCCTCGCCCCAGCAGCTTCGTGAGTGGGTTGTTCAGCGGGTCTCCACCGGCGGTGTA